TTGGGATCCGCGCTGGCGATTAAGCTTAATTGTGAGTTTAATGCGACGTTGTTCTCGAAGGTTGGGAGTGTTGGTGTAGGATGGCAGCCAAGATAGGTAACGTGACTTGTCTTGGCATGTGTATACCCGCTGTGGAGTACACTAATGTGGGTATTGGGTGACATGTTCAGCTAGCAAGGTGGATAGCTGTACGTTCTGCTACTGCTTTGTCAATTCAGCTAATTTATGTTATATGGGAGTGAAACGGCATCAAGTCACGGACGGAAGCAGCATTCTGGTCGGGATGGCAAGAAAGCTGGAGACCAAAATTTGAATGGCAGTGAAGTTGAGAATCCAATATTTATTTTCAGAGAATATCTTGCCGGTCTTAGTGTTAGGTGAGGTCACCACCAACACCTTCTGCGGCGCACGCACAGCAATGGCATCTAGTAAACCAAACTAACGGATATAGTCGCTAATCGCAGTTTAGATCAACCATGCAATGAAGGTCCGGTAGAACCAGCTGCCACCCTTGCCCTCGGTGGCTTTCTTCTCTGCTGCATGAGCGAGGAATTCCTCCTCTTCGCGGTCGATTTCGGCCTTGCCACTGTAGAAATCGGCTTCGTGGGGCTTGACCATCTTGGACTTCATGATAAACTTGTAACCGAAGATGCAAATCAGGTAGACCGGAATACCCTGAAACGTTTGTTAGCATGCTATTTGCACATAAGAGAATTGAGTGACTTACGAGGTATCCAGTAACAAAGTTCTTGTAGTCGAAAGTGCCGTATTTCGGATCCTTTGTGAAGACACTGAAGTTCTTCGTCAAGGCGATGAGGATGCAGAAGAACAGCGCAATGTAAGATCCGGTAAGACCGAACGGAGCAGTGTACGCCATCATGTCCTTGGTAATGCCTTGAGCGCGACGCGCGCGAACAAACCAGATGTGCGACACCAAAAGCGAAATCCAAGACAACAGCCCGAAAATGGTGGTGAGATTGACAAAGTAACCGAAAACCACCTTGGCATCATCTGCGGCGTTCATGAAAGCAGTGCAGCAGAAAAGAGCGGAGATGGCCAAAGCAGGTACAGGCACACCACGCTTATCAGTCCAGAGGAAGATCTTAGGGGCATGGCCTTCGACAGCAAGACCGTAGATCGTACGGGAGGCAATGTAAAGATCCGAGTTGGAAGCGCTGAAGGTGAAGAGCAAGATGCAGGCGTTGACGATAGTGGGGAGGATAGGAATATTCGCAAGCTTGATGGCGACGACGAAAGGCGAAGCGGAAGCACCGGTAGTAGCCTTGTTTGCGAACGCCAACTCCTTGGAATCGTAGGGAACGATCATGCCCAAGAAGAACACGGACAAGCAGTAGAAGAACAAGATCCGGTAGAAGGTGAGCTTGATGGCGCGAGGAATGGTCTTGCGCGGGTTTTGGGCTTCTCCAACGGTGACACCGATAAGTTCAGTACCGAGATAGGCGAAGACGGCGTTGACCAAGGAGCTCCAGAATCCGTAGAATTTACCAGCAGAGCCACCAGCGATGAATGGCTTGAACGCACCGGGGTCATTGTAGTACTTGAAGCCAGTTGCCGGACCAGGCCCAGCACCGACAGCAAGGAGGAACGAGAGGAAGATGACACCAACCTTACAGTAGTCAGTATTGTTTTGCATCGAAAAGCGCTGGAGACTTACAATCGTGATGACTTTGATAGAACTAAGCCAGAACTCAAGTTCACCGAAGAACTTGATACCGAAGTAATTGATACAGATAATGGCGACTAGGAAAATTGCAATCCAGACTCCGGGATTGACTTCATCTCTAGACTTCCATTCCGAAAGGATCAAAGCAGTGGCAGTAAGCTGGTTCGGGGTCGTGATGATGTACTTGCACCAATAAGTCCAACCAAGAGCAAAACCGAGAGCAGGGTCGCAGAAACGGGTAGCATAGCCGGCGAAACCAGAAGCGTGAGGAATCCAAGCGGCCATTTCGCCGAGAGCAGTCATTACGACGTAGACGATGAGACCGACCGAAGTGTAGGCAATGAGAATTGAACCCGGGCTGTCGTTGTTAGTGAGGATGAATATTCGCCAGATTCGTGCTACTTACCCGGACTGTGCCAGCGCTTTACCAGTACCGATAATGAGACCAGTTCCAATGGCTCCTCCGATGGCAATCATAGTAATGTGGCGCGACTTCAGACCACGGTGCAGATGCGTATGGTCGGAGTGGACAGCAACGCCATTGCTGTCGACAGCGGAGACCTCTCCCGTCTCGTGCTGGTACTCGGGCTTGGTACCATACTCAGGATCAGAAGCGTGAGGACTTGCGCCGTCCGAGGAACCCGACTTGCGGTTCCAAATGGCCATTTTGAATGAGGTGTGGTGTGTACAGTCAGGTAGACTAGTACTTTATGGCGCGTGTTGAGAAGAGCCGCACACGGGTGAGTGCAAGCGGTGATCGCGGGAAGCAAGCCCGAAAACGTGAAGCGACTCGAACCTGGTGGTATCGAGGAAAAGCAACTGTATCGACAGCTGGTACGTAAAATACTGGTGAGGCAGCGGAGAGCCTTGAGCGGCTGAAGCAGCAGGGTACACCGGTTGTTATACGACCGAGGCTGCGGGGAGGGCGAGATAGTGGTCCCACGGAACGGTGCTGATAACGAGCTACCCGTTGGAAGGCTTGTCGCGGCGGGCGAAGTAACCCAAGACGGCCAAGCAAAGAGGACCGCAGTGAAAGAATGGTGTGGAACGGGCACCGCCAGATCCAACCAATATTGACGACTTGTGTCTTCTAGAGCGTCTTGAGCGCAGCGCCAATCGCCCGGTCCAGCGAGCCATGCTGGCGCGTCTGTCGTCTCCGCGTATATCTCCTTCTTGATGCAGTTGGACTGGTGGGACGGACCCTGCTCTGTGTGTCTTGGCGGTGGCCATGGCATGCTGAGCCAAGTTTCTTGCCTATCCTTAATTCGCTCCTAGCATGATAAGGTGATATTTGACGTTTGTGGGATCCGATAAAAAGCGAACTGCCACCCGGCTGCCTGCCGCTACGAGTCGTGGAGGAATTCTGCCCTGTTATTTCGGACGAGGCATCTGCCTGACGAAGATGCGTCTTGTACGAGGCGGTACTGCGACAGTCGCATCACGAGGCAGCTGAGTTGATTGCTGCGTGAGGACCTGTTCAGCCGCGGCGGTTTTGCCCCCGCATTAGGCGGCGCGTGCACGGGCCGGCACCTCGTTCGGGTGGCAGGAGTTGACGCGCCTGACGGTGTCGTCCCTTCCCCGACACAGCTAGGCCGTCACCATCGCCGCACAAAGGCCTACTGCTGATTGCCCTTCTTACGACATCCGCGTTTAATTCGCATTACATATCGCGTGCTCAGCTGCTCCACACCAAGAACGAAAATACTAAACACTCTCCACATCCGATACGCTTCGGACCGATCGACATCCCCATAGCGATAACCATTATCAAAACCGGAGCACCCAGTTCTGCTGTTGTGCGATGGAATCACTAACGAAATGGCCATCCCGGGCTCTCTAGTCCTGTTAGCGGATGCACCATCATCAGACCTGGAAAACCCTGGCGCTAAGCACCATGCTTCTGGAAGACCCCAGGATGACGACCCGACGCTGCATTGGCGATCGTGAGGGCCACTCGATGCTCGTTATCTACTTGGCCAACATCCAAAGGATTCTTTGGACCGCTCTGGCCGATAATTCCGCCGACCTCCATGTTTGACGGCGACATTCGTCCATATCCAAGCACTTGGTAATCTTGTCAGCATCAGTTTAGTTGAAAATGCGCGAAATAGACGGAAAGGCGCTGGGGTGCCTTGCAAAGGCAGACATGTGACTTCGCATACGAGAACGCCTCGCATTCGAAGAACTAATGAGAACTGCACTTTTGGTCAAGCAGTACGAATTTCAGCCTTAAATTCGGCGCATTTGCACGAGCTTCTACCATGTAGCCGTGACATGGTGAGTGTGGTCGTGTTCTCGAATCTTCTTCGTTCGATTATGACATGCGATCAAGCAAGTTTCCCTATCGGTATCTCGCGCCCAGCACTCAATTCTGACGTCCTAGTCTCCTTCCATCCATTCTCGATCTCCTCAAATATGCCATCAACGACGCGAGCATTAAAACAGCAAACACAGTCCCTACCGCTGCTGTGATGTATACTGCTATTTCCGACTTTGAGGTTTCTGGTGTTTCTGGTACATCGGGAGCACATTCGTAAAATGTACTGGATTCCGTCGTTGATGTGAGCTGTTCTGGAAGTGGAAGATACGGAGGTGTTGCCATTGGCGCAATAACTGTGATCCAGACAACATGCGTTTCAGTAACAATGTCGGCCATTCTCCCGTGCTTGACGAAAGAGAAGAGTGTTAAAAAGCTTGAGAGATGTGAAAAGAGCGAGACTGGCCGACCAAGAAGAGAAGTAGGGTCATTTTCAAGAACACCGTTGGTACACTTGCAACGTAGAGCTATCAAACAGAAGCCATGAAGCTCATCATCGCTCAGAACACACTCTTATAGATGTCTAGCACGCTACTACACTGAGCTGGACCGCTAAGACTTCTTTGCAGCCTTCGCATTGCGAATACGGTTGAACAAGCCTGGCTGCGAAGTCAAAGCCATTTCCTCCTCCTCTTCTTGCAAATCCAGCAGGCTTGTCGGGGTCGTTGGAATTGCTTTGTTGGCCGACGAACGGTCGTGATTCGTTTGACCCGAACTGAATTCGGACACGGACTCAGAATCTCATAAGTAGAAGAAGCTAGATATATGTACTGACAGCTGCATTATTACAACAGCAGTAATTCACGGATTTATAAAGTCATGTAGGTGGAAGCGCCCACGTGTACTTCCTTCCTCACCTAACTGCAAAGTTGCGTGATGCTACAAACAACAGGGTGGCCATCCACGACAGCACAGGCAGCCACGGACCATACCCACCACATCCACTCACCTTTCCACATCTCACCATTACAACAAACATCGCTATCCACCTCCATCGCTATGCGTCTCGCACAAATCAACCACCCCGTCTTCGCAGCGGAGTACAACGAAATCGCAGATCTCTTCGATGCCGGCAAGCTTTACCCAGCCATCAACAAAGCCAAAGAGCTCATCGACCACCCGAGCAGACCCATGTACCACAAAACGCTCTCTTGGGTCATACTAGCCCTTGCTCTGGACCACCTGGACGTCATCAAGACCTGTATGCAGCGGGCAGATGCTCTCTAGAAGAAGTAAGCCCCGATTGTATGAAACCCATGCGCATGTACTGACTTCGTGCGTCCAATTCAGGCTCCGATACAAGATACGACCGGGCACGAACGACGAGTTCGATCTAGCGATGGACTGGACACGCGAAAATCTTGACATAGTATTTGAGGGTTGGTGGACGGAGGTCTCGCGGCGCTGCCAGGATTACGACATTCACTACTGGGGCATGGTGCAACTCATGACCCAAACGAACTGGGCAGGCGCGACTTAGGGTGACGTGTTTGAGGCGTGGTGGATGGGGCTGATGACGCGCTGCAAAGGAGGTAAGTTCTGACTGTACGAAGTGCATATGAGACATCTACTGACTTCGTACCTCTACCTCTGCAGCCGTTCCAGACGATCACTTCGAAATACCCAGCCCGGGATGGGAACAGCGGCAGAGACATCGGATACGTGTTTGAGGCTGCTGAGGTATATTCATTGTGGTCATGACAGGGCTGGACCAGCATTGAATACGAGAAGAGGAATCTCAAACAACTCTTACAGTAAATGGCTTGTGGGTTGTGATATGATTACCGCATTTCAACTACATAAGTTCGACCGTAATCTCGAACACGGACACCGACACCAAGCAGCACATGCAAGACTAGCCGCCTGAGAAACCAAAACACCAAGCACAGATGAACCAGGTATCCTTACGCGAACAAGAATCAAAATCCTAATGATATGCAAGAAAGAGCGCCAATCGCCCCAGCTCTGTCGCAACGGGTAGTGCAGCGGTGGGTATACCCAGCCCCGGGGTCCTGACTCCATAACTCCGCCCGCTTGCCGTAGATGTAGCGTAGTATAGCCTGGAGGATGGTGTTGCACAGCAGGCCATCCAAGTATCTATCCGTATATATTTGCCTTACTCCTTTTGCCCTTCGTTGAGTACAAGCTCAACAACCACCTGACTCCTCTCGTGTTGCGGATGTTGCAAGCTCAGCTTGACTGTCCTGTTGTGACTTGAACCTCCGCTGAGCCCGTCGTCGAGGCACTTGACATCGCGTCCAGCAATGACCTGTCGTAGGCGACCGTTCTGCGCATTTCTGATTTCGACAAAGTCGGGGTCGAACAAGAGAACGTAGGGACCATACATAGCGGCGGACTTGGCTTTGCCGACAAACTCCATGATGACGGACCGCGAGATGTCACCGTTCTTGTTGATGTATACGGCGCACTCTTCGTAGCAGAGCAGGAACTCTTGATCCGAGAGGCGGAACATGCCTAGTGGGTCCTGGTTTTGTAGTCGTGAAGCGATGGTGGCGACGTGTGATTGCTTTAGGTCCGGTACGGACCATGGTTGCTTCTTGTCGAGGGTAAGCACTTCGAAGCCCTTCGCTGTGGAAATGGCAAGCGACGAGTGGAAAAGGTTGATCGTGTAGCACTCTGCAGGGATGTAGAACTCGTCGTATTCGCGGAAGAATTCTGTGCGTCCAGACTTCCATATCCTGGACTTCTTCTCGGATGATTTCTGGTAGACAGGCTCAAGCACCTTGAAGGTGGATGAGATACCATCACGCTTCTTATAGAACACTAGCGTTCTGTCTTTCATCACGCCAGTGGCGAAGAAGCCAATGTCGCGTGCACCCGATAGCTTTTGGGGTGCTCGTCGTGTTGAGTCGTTTGAGGGGGCTACGCCACTCACTGGGCATACGGCATCGAGATGGTACGCAATGAGTGCCTTGTCGGAGATGAGCAGCATCAAGCTGAACTGTTCGAGGACGGCAATTTGCGTCACGCGTGGTACCTGAATTGCCTGCGACTGTTAGCACCGTATCATACGACTATGAATTAATTACATACCTTAGACCAGCCTCGAGGATTATCAAACTCCGACACATAAACACCAATATCTGTACCGACGGCTACCATGTGCTTGCCGTAGGGCTGGCTGAAGGCTGTTGCACAGTTCACCCGTGCACGGCAGATGGGGACAGGCCGCCCGACGTTGACGAAAAGCTTCTCCACCTCGTCGACTGCGCGGTCCAGTGGCGTTCCCTTGATCGTGATAGCTTTTTGTGAAGGCATCGCGCTATCATATGCGAAGGCCGCATCAGCCATGACTCTCAACTTGAACGGTTCGGCGTTTTGAGCAAAGAGAGCTGCTGCGTGTCGCGTCTTCGCAATGATGAGCTTGTCGCACCACTCGGCACGGTTTGTTGCCGACGGCGCATACAGCGTGTAGGTCTCCTTGCCCAAGTGCTTTACGCGGAAGGGGTACAGAATCTTTTCATCCTTTGAAGCATCATTTGAGGTGGTGTTGACCATGGTCTTGCCGGAATTGCTCGTGTTGGTCGACCCAAGCGAGTTTGAGGTGCTTGTGTGTGATAGACCACCAGGTACAGGGCTGTTGTTCAATCGTGTAGCGGCCCCGGAACCGACCCGACCAGAAACGGTGGTGACAGTAGAGATACCTTTCATGGTAGACCGCACAACGGGATCGTCGTCTTCGCTCTCGAGAACAAGAAGATCCATGGGAATTGGCAATCTTGACACATCGTACTTCTCAGACTTGGTAACACCGTCTGCTTCTCGGAAAGAGACTGCCTTGGCGAGCACAAGGTAATGATCGAAGAGCAATGCGTGGGTCTCAAGCCAGTTGAAACGACTGCCTCCCATCCTTTGCAGGTCGCCTCGGAAGATGAGTTCTCGGCCCAGGTGATCCAGGTTGAGCTCCACTCGCTGCATACCTGGCCGCAAGATGAGTTTTGCTTGCAAGTCGGTGAGACTGACTTTCCGACTCATTTCAGCGACACGGCTGTCGCATTCTAGTGTCACGGCTTTGATCTCTTCTTTGGCGACCTGGAGATTTCGTTTCTCCTCGTTGTCCACAGTCGAGTACTTGATGACTGTGTCTATGAGAAGACCATAGCGCTGCAGTCTGTCGATAGGGCCTTTGAGATAGGTATCCCATCCAAGCTTTTCTGACAGCTTGTGCTTTTGAGCGTCGTCCAGGAAGGTGCGGAACAGTATGTTTCGGTCAGCTTCCTGTCGAACCAGGAAGGATGCGTACGGGAAAGCCGCGGCGTACTCGATGTAGGCCTGCTTCGCTTTTCGGATCCATTCTCGGAAGATATCACTGAAGCCTACAATCCATGGACCTTGCTCTTGCTGTCTGTACTTTATCTGTGGAAGAAGATGGTCTTCGTTCGCTTTCCGTACTGCGTCTACCTTGCTGAACACGTCGCGGATGAATCTGTCGACTTTCTTAGGAGGTATGACCGGAGGCTGGGCTGATTGAAGTCGGTCCCGGTAGAGGTGCCGTAATACGTCGAGTCGGTTCATGTACTTGTCTTCTCCTTGGACGATCTCGTGTAGGATGTTTTGACGTTCAATCTCCTTCTTGTTTGCTCCTTCGATGTCTTCTTTCTTCAGCTTATAGAAGGTAGCCCAGTCTTCTGATCGAGGTGCGGCGGACGGAGCGTGCAGGTCGATCTTCTTGAGTGTGCGTTGGCAATGGTGCGAGTAACATCGACCCGGGCTTGCATGCGTATGCAACATGGGAGCGTAACATCCTGCCCCTGTAAGCTGGAATATTACTCCAGTCATGCTCGCGGTTGAGAATCTCAACCATTCTTCCTCGTGCACAAGCGTGCCTGCTTTGTACATCTCAGCCACTACCCGACTACTCAGTGTCTCGGCATCCGCAATGTTCATAGTTGGAACTTTGTGGGTGAATAGCGCAATAAGACCTTCTTGGATCGGACCCTCCTTAAGGTCATTCTCGCCTTCGGTCATGTTCTTCAGCCAGGAGATGATCGAGCTAAGTGCCCAAGGCTCAGTGCATTTCTTGAAGTCGATGCTGGAGAGCTTTGCGGGATTGAAGCGCTTGCCGGCTGGAATCGTGGGTAGGTCGATAGCTACAGCTTCTGCACTGCCAGGGGTGAGGGTGTTGCCGTCGCTGTCCATGGCACCGCCATAGAAGGTATTCCGGTTGCCGGGAGGAGGTCGAGGTCTGTGCCCCTGTTCAGCGTCTGTCTTGGAACGAGGCAGGGGAATGGCATCTCGGGCATTGCTGTGCTGGAGTAGAGAGGTTGAGCGAGGCACAGGGGCCCCGGTGGGAGAAATCATGTGCATAGCATTCGCATCCACGGGGTATGAACGCTGCGCAGCCGGAGCGTTACGCCAGTATTCGTAGGATCCAGATCCGGTGGAGCTGTTGCTCTGGTGGTTCATTCGCCGGCTGCCGGTGTTCACTGGAGGTGGGGGCAGTGGCCGGTTTGAAATGCCCGGGTGATAGAACATATCCGGTGGCTCGCCCGGCATTACTGCTGAAGGGCCATTGAGTGTAGAGCCGGATAGGGCAGATGCGCTATCCATGAGTGTGACCTCATCGCCCTCGTCGTAGCTCCGCCGCCGTGCGCTAGGCTCTTCCAGACCACCGGTACCAAATGTATCGACACGCGCGTTGCTCGAGAAGGACGGGAAGGGATGGATCGGGTCGTAGTCGTCGCGCAGAGGGTCGGATCGTCGCTGAGAGCCTGAGGTGGATGCTGTGTGACTTCCACCCGCTGCCAGTACGCTTGGGTCTCCGCCGTAGTTGAAAGATGGTGCGAATCCGCCGCCATAGGTACCCACGTCCATACCCACGTAGTCACTATCGCTGGCACTTTCCTGTCGCATCGGCTCGGCAGGCATCTGCGGGGAATGTACCGACGTGTAGTTGCTGAAGAGCCCGGTACCACCACTAGCTCTACGAGCTTCGTCTTCTCTTTCTTGTTCCTCGGCCATCTGAAGTGCAGCCAGACCAGCAGCCGCCTCTACGTCGCTCTCGTCACTAAGGTAGGTGTCGCGTCCAGCAACTGCGCCATTCGTGCCGTTTCTTCCTGCAGACTCGCTGTAGTATTGGCCGTTTGGCTGTTGGACCTGGGCGCCGCCAGATGTCATGTTCATAACGTCGTTGAATAGTTCGTCTTGATACCCGTTCTGCTGCGGCGCGAAGTATTCGTCGCTGTCGGACTCGTGGGGTGGTGGTGGGGGTAGCGGTCGCGATGATACCGTGTTGGTCCGTTGCGGCGAGCCATGTGTAGGGACCTCGGGCGTGGGTGGAAGGGCGTTGCCAGACATGGAGGCATACCTGTCGCCGCGCTGGGAGCCGTAGCCAGTATCGTATCCCGGGGGAGACGGGAGTGGAGCATGCGAGGCGCTCGAGGAATAGTAGCCCGAGGACGCGTTCGAGGGTCGTCGGTTCGGGTAGGTGCCCCAGTCCTCACCCGCAGATTGCGCGCT